TTTTCCATGTCTTTAAATTCCTAGGGCCGGCCCATGGTTCACTCGGTGGAGTGCGGTGCTGATAACACTAAGGCCCTGGGTTCAGATCCCATATAGGGATGGCCAGTTAGCTTACTGGCCGAGCGTGGTGCTGACAACACCAAGTCAAAGGTTAAGATCCCCTTACCGGTCATCTTAAAAAAAAAAAATCCCGTATTATTCTTTTAATGCTTTTATGACATGTAATGATGTCCCCTCTTTTATTCCTGATATTGGTCATTTCTCTCTTCTCTCGTTTTCTTGATTAGTCTAGCTAAAGGTTTATCAACTTTTGGTTGATTATTTCTAGAGAATCAGCTTTTTTTGTTTTTTTTCCTTTTTGTCTTTTTTCTTGACCGGTAATGGGATTGCAACCCTCGGTGTCGTGCCCACACCGCACTCAGCCAGTGAGCGGACCGGTCTCTATATGGGATCCAAAACCTCGGCGGGAGCGCTGCACTCAACCGAGTGTGCCACCGGGCCAGCCCGAGAATCAGCTTTTGATTTCATTTATTCCTCTCCTCACTATGTTCATGTTTTCCTTTAAATACTCGAACATAATTATAAATGCAGTTTTAGCATCTTTGCTAGTCTGACCACCTCTGTTGCATTAGTCTGTTTCAGAAATTCCTGAAACTAGGTAATTTGTAAATAAAAAAAGCAATATTTATTGCTTACAATTTGAGAGGCTGGGAAGTCCAGAGTCCAGGGAATGCATCTGGTGAAGGTCTTGTTGGTGGTGACTCCACACAGTAATGCAGGGCCAGCCCCCCCTTCATTGAAGGACATTTGGGTTGTTTCCAGTTTTGGGCTCTTATAAATAAAGCTGCTGTGAGCATTCACGTATAGATCGTGTGGACATAACTTTTCATTTCTCTGGGATAAGTGCCCAGGAGTGTGATGGCTGTACCGTTTCACATTCCTATTAGCAATGGATGGTACATCCAGTTTTGCCACATCCTTGACACTATTTAGTATTGTCACAATTCTTTTTAGCCATTCTAACAGGTGTGTAATGATATCACATCATGATTTTTATTTTCATTTTTCCAATGGCTCACAATGTTACACATCTTTTTCATGTGCTTATTTAACATATCTTCTTCAGTAAAATGTCTTTTGCCCAGTTTCTAATTGGATTGTGGTTTTTTATTTTCGAATTATTTTTTTGTTTGGTTTTTGGTGGCTGGCTGGTATGGGGATCTGAACCCTTGACCTTGGTGTTATAACATGCGCTCTAACCAACTGAGCTTAACGGCCAGCACGGCTGTTAAATTTTGAGATTGTTGGGCCAAGCCCGTGGTGCACTCGGGAGAGTGTGGCGCTGGGAGCGCAGCAGCGCTCCCGCTGTGGGTTTGGATCCTATATAGGGATGACCGGTGCGCTCACAGCCCTCACTGGCTGAGCGTGGTGCGGGTGGTCTCAAAAAGGACAAAAAAAAAATTTTTTTTTGAGATTACCTTATGTATTCTAGATATGAGTCTTTTGTCAGATACATGGTTTGCAAACATTCTCCCCCACTCTGTAATTTATCTTTTCATTCTCTTAATACATCTCTCATAAAGCAAAAGTTTTAATTTTGAAAATGTGTAATTTATCAGGTTTTTTTTCCTTTAAGGACTGTGCTTTTAATATCTTGTATAAAAACACCAAACCCTAGATCCTAGAGATTTTCTCCTGTTTTCTTTTTAAAGTTTCACAGTTCTGCCTTTCCTTTCAGCTGGAACTGCCATCTTCCAGCAATTTGCCAAAATGATGAACACAAAGGGAAAGAGCAGAGGCCCCTGATATGTGTGCTCCCGGCCTTTTAGAAAACATGGAGTTGTTCCTTTGGCCACATTTCCTGTTCAAAAAGGAATGCCCCACAAATGTTACTATGGCAAATCGGGAAGAGTCTACGGTGTTACCTGGCATGCTGCTGCCGTTGTTATAAACAGACAAGTTTAGGGAAAGATTCCTGCCAAGAGCATTAATGTCGGTATTGAGCACATTGAGCACTCTAAGAGCCGAGACAGCTTCCTGAAACTGTGAAGGAAAATGATCAGAAAAAGAAGGAAGCAAAAGAGAAAGGAACCTGGGTTCACCTGAAGCACCAGCCTGCCCCACCAGAGAAGCACACTTGTGAGAACCAATGGCTAGGGCCTGGGCTGCTGGAACCTATTCCCTATGAATTCATGGCATAATGGGTGTAAAAGTAAATAAAAGACCAACACAAGTGTACTGTAAAAAAAAAAAAAAAAAAGGGCCGGCCCATGGCTCACTTGGGAGAGCGTGGTGCTGACAACACCAAGTCAAGGGTTATACTTAACGTCTATAATTAATTTTTAGTTAATTCTTAATGGATATTCAATTGCTCCAGTACAATTTGTTGAAAAGACCATCTTTCCTTCATTTAATTGCTTTCGCGTCTTTGTCAAAGATCATTTGGCTGTATGTGTGTGTGTCTATTTCTGGGTTCTCTATTTTTTTTTTTCTTTTTGTCTTTTTTCGTGACCGGCAACGGATCACAACCCTCAGTGTCGCGCCCGTACCAGACCGGGACCGGCAACGGGATCGCAACCCTCGGTGTTGCTCCCGCACCTCGCTCAGCCAGTGAGCGGCCGGTCTGTATGTGGGATCCAAACCCTCGGCGGGAGCGCCGCCACACTTCCCAAGCGGCGCACTGTAGCAGTGCACCACTGGGCCGGCCTCTCGGTTCTCTATTGAGTTCCACTGATCAATGTGTCCATCTCTTTCCCAGTACTATGTGGTCTCCATTAGTCTAGCTGTACAATAGGTCTTAAAATTAGGTAGAGTGGTTGTTCCCATTTTATTCTTCATTTTCAGAATTATTTTATTATCCTAATTCCTCTGCCTTTCCATATAAATTTTAGAATAATTTTACCTATATCTACAAAAAATATTCCTAAGAATTCTGATAGAAATTGTGTTAGATCCATGTATCAGCTTGGGGAGAACTGAAACCTTTATTATATTGAGACTTCCAGTTGATTAATATGGTATGTCTCTCCATTAACTAAGATTGTCTTTGATTTCTTTCATCAACATTTTATAGTTTTAGCTGCATCAATTGGCATTGTATGTAATTTTTTTTCTTTAGTCTATTAATATGGTTGATTTCATTGACTGGTTTTTAAATACTGAGCGGGGCCGAGCCCGTGGCGCACTCAGGAGAGTGCGGCACTGGGAGCGCAGCAGCGCTCCCGCTGTGGGTTCGGATCCTATATAAGGATGGCCAGTGTGCTCACTGGCTGAGCGCCGTGCCGATCTCAAAAAAAAAAAAGATAAATACTGAGCTAATTGTGCATTCCTTGAATTAACCCCACTTGGTCATAGTGTATAATTCTTTTTACATATTGGTGCATTTTAAATGCTAATATTTTGTTAAGGGTTTTTACCTCTAGATTTCTTTTTTTGTACTTTTTTTTAGTACTGTCTTTCTCTGCCTTTGTTATTGCAGTAATACTGGCTTCATAAAATAAGTTTGAAAAAATTCCAAGTCTTCTTGAAGAGATTACCTGATGAGATTGTGCAGAATTGACTTAGAATTAGTGTTGATTCTTTAAACGTACGTTAGAAATCTCCACTGAAACCATCTGGGCCTGGAGATTTATTTTTTCTGAAGTTTTCAAATTATGAATTCAATTACTTTAGTAGTTATAGGGCTAGTCAAATTACCTACTTAATATTGAATGAAGTGGTGATTTGTGTGCTTTTTTGGAACTGGTTCATTTCACGTAAGTTGCTCATAGTATTCCCCTATTATCCTTTTGATGTTTGCAGAGTCTGAAGTGAGATTTCCTATTTCATTCCTGATGTTGGTAATTTGTGTCTTCTCTTTTTCTTTTTTCAGTCTTGCCAAAAGTTTGTCAACTTTATTGAGTGTTAAGAGAACTAGCCTTTGTTTTTATTGATTTTTCTCTATTGTTTTTCTACTTTCAATTTTATTAATTTCTGCTCTTTTTACCATTATTATCATTATTTCTTTCCATCTCCTTGCTTTGGGTTTATTCTTCTGCTCTTTTTCTAATTTTTTAAGGTTGGAAGCTCAGATTATTGATTTGAGTCTTTTTCTCCTTTCTAATGCATTTAGGGCTATAAATTTCTCTCTATGTGTCTTTATTTGTGCCTTGCAAATTTTTTAAATGCTTTGTTTTCATTTTCATTCATTCCAATGCATTTTTTAAATTTCTCTCAAGGCATCCTCCTTTAACACGTATTGTTTAGAGGTGTGTTATTCAGTTTCTAAATGTTTGGAAGGGGCTTTGGGTCAAGATGGTGGAATAGACAGTCCCTGGCATCACTCTCTCCCATAAATCAACCAATTTACACCTATAAAAAAGCAACAACAGCCAAGCTGGGGCCACTAGAGCTCAGGGGAAGAGAAGGAGAGACCTACAGAGTGCATGAAGGCAGGAGAAGCCACGATGAGAGAAAGAAAAAACTGCTTCAACCATTTCACACCATGGCCACTTTAAGGCTGGACCTGCTGAGTGCACAGAGCAGGAGTTGGCAAAAGCCGCAGCTGTGCCCTTTGGATGCAGTTGCTTGGAGGCGGCAGGGGAGAAGAGGACCGTGGTGGCCCCCAGGCCAGCAAGACCACTAATAGGGTTCCTGTGGACTCACATAGGAGCAAGGAGGCACAACTGAATAAAAGAAGCCACTCACAGGCTGTTGAGTCATCACAAGGGACTGGCACATGGCCTGTCCCATGGGAAGTGTTCGGAGCATGGGTGGTGGGGGAGATGGATCTACTGAAGGAACACTGGGGCACAGCAAGGACACCTGACTGGTACCCCAATCAGTGTAGGACCACTCAGAGGAGACTGGCCAGGAATATAGAATTGCAGGGAGAGAGGGCCCTTTCTTAGAAAGTGACCTTTGGAAGTGCTCGGCTCCCCTCCCTGGCCCTGGATTCTACTTCCCCTCCGCTCGCGCTGCAGTCGCAGCCGCCACCAGGCCCCGTGCCACCTCTGGAGTCCATGGCCGGGACGCGCTGGGTACTCGGGGCACTGCTCCGGGGCTGCGGCTGCAACTGCAGCAGCTGCCGGCGCACCGGTGCCGCCTGCCTGCCCTTCTATTCAGCCTCCCCTTACCTCTCAAACTGGGATGCCCCATCTTTTATATATGCATGTCAATTCTATTCTTCCTCCAAAGCCCATCTCATATTACATCCTGATCTGTTAGTGCTCGGTTTGGAATGCCTGTAGTGTTTTGTGTCTTAATTATAGCACTTAAAACATCTTGCTTGTATGCTTGTCTTATTCTAGATGGGAGGCTTTTTGAGATGAGAGTGTGATATTACATTTACACTGTGTGTAAGGGGCAGTCAGATATTTGAAGGGACCCTTCTTGTACTGTCTTAAACACTATTATTAGGTATAATTTGGGGTTGGTGAATTTAAAAACAAACCCTGAGTAAAATTTATGTCCTGCCAAACCATTAAGATATACTTAACTGCTATAGGATGTACAATTAAAGTCAAAACAGGATGAGTTGGATTTGTGCAGTTAACCCCTTGCCTCTGAAATAATATTAACATCCAGAGTTTTAATTTGTAGAAATAAACATTTTCTAAATAGGTTGTTAAAGAAGTATTTTGACATTTTTTAAAATTTCCTTTGGAAGGAGTCCAAAACTACCTACCTGGAAGACCTTCCACCACTCCCTGAGTATGAATTGGCCCGGTCCAAGTTAGGAGAGGAAGTGGCTGATGTTTATCTCATTCGAGCTCAAGGATTGCCTTGGTCGTGTACTGTGGAAGATGTGCTTAACTTTTTCTCAGACTGCAGAATCCGCAATGCTGGGAATGGAATACATTTCCTCTTAAAGAGAGATGGGAAACGAAGGGGTGATGCCTTAATTGAAATGGAGTCAGAGCAGGACGTGCAAAAAGCCTTAGAGAAGCACCGCATGTACATGGGTCAGCGTTACGTGGAAGTTTATGAGATAAACAATGAAGATGTGGATGCCTTAATGAAGAGCCTACAGGTCAAATCTTCACCTGTGGCAAATGACGGCGTGGATCGTTTGAGAGGACTTCCTTATAGTTGCAATGAGAAAGGCATTGTAGACTTCTTTGCAGGACTGAATATACTAGACATTACTTTTGTGATGGACTATCGAGGGAGAAGAAAAACAGGGGAAGCCTATGTGCAGTTTGAAGAACCAGAAATGGCCAACCAAGCCCTCTTGAAACACAGGGAAGAAATTGGTAACCGATATATAGAGATATTTCCAAGCAGAAGGAATGAACACATGTTGGCTCTCATAAGGGAAAGAAAACGACATCTTCTCCTACTGCTAAGTATATAACTGAGCCAGAAATGGTCTTTGAAGAACATGAAGTAAATGAGGATATTCGACCCATGACAGCTTTTGAAAGTGAGAAGGAAATAGAATTGCCTAAGGATATGCCAGAGAAACTTCCAGAAGCTGTTGATTTTGGAACTACGCCTTCACTCCATTTTGTCCACATGAGGGGATTGCCTTTCCAAGCCAATGCCCAAGACATTATAAATTTTTTTGCTCCACTGAAGCCTGTTAGAATCACCATGGAATACAGTTCCAGTGGGAAAGCCACTGGTGAAGCTGATGTGCACTTTGAGACCCACGAGGACGCTGTTGCAGCTATGCTCAAGGATCGGTCCCACGTTCACCATAGATATATTGAACTGTTCCTGAATTCATGTCCAAAAGGAAAATAAGATTTCCAGAGACTCCAGATAATAAGGATGAAGCAAGAAGCATTTCATTTGCACATCTTTCTTGGATATCGGATATAAAGTTCCAGTTTATTAGCAGCAACTGCTAGAGAAAGGATTTGGGGGTTTGGGGTTCATTGCTTCTGAGAAAAATTTCGTAGAGGACTGAAAGAGAAGATTGAGTTTGGGATTATGAAATAAACCACAGATTAAAATTTTTGTTTAAACTGTCCAGGATCTGGGGCCGGCCCGGTGGCGCACTGCTACAGTGCCCCACTTGGGAAGCGCGGCGGCGCTCCCGCCGAGGGTTCGGATCCCACGTACAGACCGGCCGCTCACTGGCTGAGCGAGGGGCAGGAGCAACACCGAGGGTTGTGATCCCGTAGCCGGTCCCGGTCCGGTACGGGTGCGACACTGAGGGTTGCGATCCGTTGCCGGTCACGAAAAAAGACAAAAAGGAAAAAAAAAAAAAATAAAATAAAAATAAACTGTCCAGGATCTGATTTAAAAATCTGGTCTTCATTTTATGTGATTAAACAGTTTGTTTTCATAGAGGATATTACCCATTATAAAGAGTACATATTTTTACTTAGCACTGTTCTTTAAAATCTTTCTCCCATTTAAAAAAAAAAAAATCTGTTCAAGGTTTTGTTTTTTGCCTGTGAATTGAGAGCTCTGATTTAA